TTTGTTTTTGTTTTTTTTTTTATTTGTTTGTTTGTTTTTATTTTTGTTTGTTTGTTTTGTTTTTGTTTTTTTTTTATTTGTTTGTTTGTTTTTTTTTTGTTTGTTTGTTTTGTTTTTGTTTTTTTTTTGATTTGTTTGTTTGTTTTTTTTTTGTTTGGTTTTGTTTTGTTTTTGTTTTTTTTTTTTGATTTGTTTTGTTTTTTTTGTTTATTTGTTTTGATTTGTTTTTGATTTTTTTTTGCTTGTGGTGTTTTATTTTGTTTTGTTTTTTTTTTGGAATTTTTTTGTTTTTGTTTGCTTGTGTTGTTTTATTTCGTTTTAATTTTTTTTGGAGGGAATTAATTTTTTTTTTTAATTAAGTTTTTTTAATGCATCTTTTATTTTGTGTTTGTTTTTGTTTTATTTTGTTTTATTTTGTTTTATTTTGTTTTGTATTTGTTTATTTTTTTTTATTATGGTTTTTTTTGTTTGTTTATTTATGTTTGATAAATTTGAAATGAAATGTGTGTTATTATTTTGTTTTTTAAATGTATTATGCGTTAAATATAAAAATGATATTTAGAAATTTAAAATTTAGAAATTGCGTTTGTGATAATTTTGTGTTAAGTGTATTAATTTAATCTTAATGTAATTATATTTATACGTTATATGTTATTGTTACAGGATTATGGTGGAGACGAAAATGATTACAGTGGGATTTTTGTACATGATGGCCTGTTCGAAGATGCTCAACAAGCGATTGATTGGGCAAAACAGGTTGCAATTAGATCAGGCTTTTGTTTAGTAGTAGCAACTCATAAATCTCAACGGGATGGTAGAATGGATCGCATTTTGAGATGCGACCGTTATCGCAAAAGAGAAGAACGAGATTTCAGTAAAGCGATTCGGTTTGACTCAAAGCGGAAAGGTTGTGGGTGTCAGTTCCGAGTTAAGGTTCGACAACATCAAAGGCGTGACGGTTGGGAAGTGAAGGGTTACGGCAAATGGGGATATCACAACCATGAGCTGATAGCATACAAAGTGGGGCATCGGTGGGGAGGGGGACCTTGCGATCAAAATCATTGGTTCGATGCGCCACTTGATCTCTTTGCCGTTGCAAACATCTACAAGTGTGCAGTCATGCATTTCGGCCTTGGTTTACATAGTCGAGCCTATTATCCATGTACAACGGTTCTGCCCTGGTGTTCGCGCGAGACCGTCACCAGACCGGTAAGGGACGTTGCTATTGGATTTCTTGGGCCGTCATACAGACATTTTATCCGATTAGACATGTCACCCGATTTTCCGGTCCCACATATCATACCGAAGTGGTATGAAATTCGTAGAGCAAGCGTGGAGGGTTGGGATGCTTTGTACCATGCTCGCGTGCAACAGTGGAACAATTTAATTGCCATGTAGTTTTTGTTGATGTACACCTACCTTTTACTATGAGGCCTTGTATTGTCAATACTATGTCATTTCTATGTGTTCATTTTTAAAAGATAATGTTTCATTTTAAAAACTAACAACAATAATTTCACAATATTACAAACTAAAAAGATAATATTGAATTTTAAAAACTAAGAACAATAATTTCAAATATTACAAACTAAAAAGATAATGTCTAATTTCAAATATCAGTAATCCCTCTGTGACGCCCACTGCCACTGCTCAAGAGTCCGTTCCAGATCGTCAATAACAGCTCTGCCTGATGCACTCGTCATGCAGTCCCTTTCCTCAAAAAGTCGGTGTCCCAACTGCATAATCTTGCCCATCCACTACACAAAACAAAAAACATGAAACGACGTATTATACATATATATATTAAAATAAGAGAACAACAAATAAAAGATGAGACGTACCGCATAAGAGGCAGTGGCAGGTGGCACATCGTCATCATCTGCGTCGTCGATGTCTTTGATCAACCTCGGGTGCGAGTGCCGGATGTACCATTCCATGTAGTGCTGGTCACACATGGCAGTCACCCCACTTGGCGGCCGCTGCAGCTCCGCCGTCCATAGGCGGGCAACCATCGGAAACTGCTCCCACATGGATATCATGTTTGCCGGCCATTGGACGACGTACTCCTTCGACGACGCAGATCGTACCGCCTTACTGGGCCATGCCGGTGGAGGTGGGACAACTTGGACAAATCCAAGCTGGCGAAGACAGCGCTGCGGCATGTACGCCTCTACGATCTCGCGATACTGAATCAGTCCGGTGTAGAGGGTCCTGGGTACCCTATTACTAGGGTTCTGGCCGAAAGGCATCCAGTTCACCTGCACATTATTTAAAATCAGTAACAGTCATAAAATAAAGCATCAGATTGTAAAAGTAGAAATAATTTAATGGGAACCGGGTCGCGGTGTGGTCGAAACGCAGGAAAATACTCGTATATCCAGGTCTGTAACAACGTCAGACATCCAGTGATACCTGCTGCATCAGCCCGGCTCGAGAATCCTAACTGGCGATACAGATACGCCAGCGTAGCCGACCCCCAAGAAAACTGGCCTACTCTGTCGGGCTCACACGCGTCAACTATGTCGCGTGGCCTGAGCTTGTTCCCGCTCTTATCCGGAAACAAGGTACACCCGAGAAGAAGAAAAACATATGCAGCCAGCTGTGTGTCCTGCGTCCTACGTGCCGTAGGGTGCAAACATCGCTGCAAGACGGCTGCGATCTTAACGCCGCCGTGATCCCACACACCAAGTGCCGATGTGTACAGCGCAGCCCTATCCACCGCCAACAGCTCCGCTAGTAAATCTGCCTGATCCGCATCAGTGACGACAAATGCTCGGTTTCCCTCCACGGGAATCCCAAGGATGGCCTCGACGTCATGCAACATGATCGTCATCTCACCGAACGGAAGGTGGAACGAGTTCGTATCCGGCTGCCATCGCTCAACGAAAGCCGTGATCAGCGTCCAGTCAATCATGTCGTGCATGGTGGCAGGAAGGTGACTCACTCTAGTGCCCCTCAATCGCCCGACCATCTCGCTCTCCTCCGGCCAAGCATCAGCCCAGCTACACAAAAACCTACAAGTCTTTTCCCGGGTTTGGCATTTCAAAATGCCTGTATCCAAAGCCCTCTCCTGGTCCTCCCAAATACGGGTAGCGATGTGTCCTAAAAAGCTAGGAATCACACTCCCGTCTATAGGTCCCCCGGCCACCTCACCCCTCACCATCCAAGAATCATTAACGGCCCTCGACCGTTTTCTGCTACCCGCAGACACAGTGGACGCAGATGATGTGCCAGATCTACTAACAAACCTACCATCTCGACCCTTACGCACATCTACCCTATGCGTCTCATACGTATCATCAAGCCTCTGACTGAATGGACCGTAATCATCATATGGTCCACTCTGATCGTCGACATCCTCATCTGCATCATCCTCGTCCTCGACCTCCTCCTCCTCGACCTCCTCCTCCTCCTCCTCATCATCATCATCATCATCTTGATCGTCCGCAGAACAGTGCACCCGTTCTCTGCGGGCCGAGGCCGAAATACCACGGGATCTAACGTGTCTGGGCCCCGAGCTCTCCATTGAGTAGATCGTACTCCTCACGACGTCAATACTCTTCCCCGCACCAGGTCCAAATTGCGATGCCTAACTCCAAGTAAATAACGAAACATAATAACGAAAACAAATTAAAAAAAGTCGAAAATAAACACAAAAGCAAATAAACAAGTCACGGAAATAAAATTATAAACATAAAAAATATAAATATATACAAGACAATATACATATAAACATAAGAAATATAAACATAAACATATACCAAAAACAAAAAATATAAACTACAAACAAAAAAAAAACAAACATAAACAAAAACAAAAACAAAAAATATTACCAAAAACAAAAAATATAAATACAAAAAAGGACGAAAATAAACACAAAAGCAAATAAACAAGTAACGGAAATAAAATTATAAACATAAAAAATAAAAATATAAACAACACAATATAAATAAAAACATAAAAAATATAAATATAAACATAAAAAAATATAAATATGAACAAAACAATATACCAAAAACAAAATATATAACCAAAAACAAAAAATATAAACAACAAACTAAAAAATGAAAAACATAAACAAAAACAAAAAATCAAAAATGCAAAGAAAAAACCAAAAACAAAAAACTAACAAAACTTAAAAAATTTAAAATTGCAAAAACTTAAAAAAAGAAGAACATCAAAATTTTAAAGAAAATTTATAAAAAAAAAAGGGAACTTATAATTTTTTTACATACAAAAATATAATTCAAAAAAAAAAATAAAAAATACATAGGAACATAAAATTAAAAATTAAAACCAGAAACAATCTTTTTTTTTAAAAAAAAATAGAACATAAAATTAAAACAAATAAAAAAACAAAATTTATAAAAAAAAAGATAAAAAAAAAAGGGAACATACAATTTAAAAAAAAGAAAAACAAATTTTAAAAAAAAAAAAAAATTCGAAAATAAAATTTAAAATTAAAAAAAAACAAAAAAAAAATTTTAAAAAAAAAAGAGAAGGAGGCGCCTAGGCAAGACGCCCGTACGGTGGTAGCGGCGCCTAGCCCAGACGCCACTACCACGGCTGTGGCGCCTAGCCTATGCGCCGCCGCCGTGGTAGTGGCGTCTGGGCTAGGCGCCGTCACCACCATACGGGCGTCTTGCCTAGGCGCTTCCTCCGTGGTGGTGGCGTCTCGCCTTGGCGCCCCACCGTCGCCGGAGGTTTTTTTTTTTAAAAAAAATTACAAAAATTTAAAAAATTACCTTCTGGCCGGCAAACCGCCTTCCGCCCACCGCCGGTGCCGCCACTTCCTTGCCGGGCCGCCTCGACATAGCTCTGGAAATAATTTAGAGAGAGAAAGTGGAAGTAGAGAGTAGAGAGAGAAATTGTGTTTTTTAGTTTGAGGGCAAAAGTGTCATTTCACTCTTATTTTGTGGGCTTTATGTAGGAATTTGCGGGCGATGTTTAACAGTTCACTTGTTTTTCTTAAAAAAAACCGTAAAAATACAGTTGATATCTCTCTTATTTTCTCTCTCTACTTTTCTCCTGTTTCTCTCTCTACTTGCTACAATTACTTCGTAACAAAGTAGTAGACTCCAACAAAACAACCAAACATTCACATTTTGCTCTACCCAAAATTTTCGCCGATCATCGTCAACGTCTATTTTTTCCGGTTTAAACCCTGATTTCGATTTCATATCCCTCTTCTCTCTCCTCTTTCATTCAATTCTTAATCTTTGTCGAGATTCAATTTTGCTTTGCTGGAAAAAGGGACGATTTTTTTTCTGATCCAAAATATTAGGGGTTTGATTTTGTATAATTCGTGTTTTTTTGTGAATTTTTTGATCTTTGGAGTTTTTCGAGGTTTTTTTTTTTTTTTTGGATTTGTGGGTTTCGCGCTTCATTGTACGGCTTTGTTTGTAACGACTTGATGGCGGATGCAAATCTCAGCATAAGGTAAAGTTTCATTATAAACCCTAATATTTGTTATTTGATTTGATTTCTTGTTATTGAGAGGTTTTGGATTGGGATAATTATTGTTTGTGGTGTGTTTGTTGAGGTTGAATTGAATTGTTGAAATTTCGAATTGATTTGATCTCAAATCTGTGAGCTTGTTTTGAAATTGTAAATTTGAATATGATTTGGGTCTGTGAGAAGAATTAATGAAATTTTCTGTGGGTTACTGTTTCATTGATTTGGAAAATGTGGGATAATTGGTTTTAATAATTAAGAAATTTGTGATTTTGTGAGTTCATTGGACGGTGAGATATCGGGAGTTTTCGATATATAGCTCAGTATTATTAATTTGCTGTCTGCTGTAGTATGGACTGCATTGAAGCTATTTATTGTAATACAAACTCGGAATCGTGGATTTATATCTCCGACATTGAGCTATATATTGTAATACAAACTCAAAGTTCTTTCTATGAATGTGGTATAGTCTGCTTGATGTATTATTTCTGTGAAATTTTAAGGGTTTATTGAATAGGATAAGTAGGGTCGTAGGGATGCTTTACAGTTGATAATGTTTCATCAAGAGTCAACTGTGGACAATATAATGATTTTTTGAAGTTGTATCGAAAAATGTAGTTTGACATGATTTGAGGGTTTGGTTAGTTAGTTACTTAAACATAAAATAAGGATATGTCTTTCATTTTAAATGAACTTGGAATTATTGAGATTTGTTAGCACAAAAGTTTTGCTGATTTTTTTCCCTCATAGAGCATGCTTTGCAAGTCCTGTTGTTGGATGTTTTGAATTGCACTTATGTTTCCCCTCTCTTCCCGGTCAATGTTTCTTTCCAATTTAAAGCTGATATTAATGATGAGTTTGTCTTTAAAATAACAAGATGCATAGAAAAGACAGCTTTTTGATTTTGAGTTTGATTTGCTTGATTGTGCCAAACACATTAAAAGATTGCTTACAGTAACATTTTCCCTACACTATAATTAATTTCTGTTTTTATATATCGGGATTTACTGTGTCATGTACTCATGTTCCACATTTTTTTAAAAAAAATTTACACTGTTCTGAATTTAGTCATTGTTATTCTGCAGGAAATAAACTGTGCTGTGAATCTGTGATCATATCTTCTTGATGATTTTTTAAAGTAATCACCATTGTACTGCAGGAGATAAGCTTTTTGAAGAAGACAACATGATGAATCAGGTAGCAATTTTTTATTAATTTTATTTTGTTTAAAGTTAGTTTTTTTTTTTTATTTGTTAGGTAACTATATCCCTTTAGCACTTCATTTTGTAATCTATTATCAGCCACTTTCGCCCAAAGATGAAAGGAACGTTTCTACCAATCCTTCTGCGGATGCAGCCATCACAGGGCCTTCAAGAAATGCCAGTGATCCTCCAAGGGCTTCAGATGCTGCTGTAGATAATAATACAAGCTACCCACCAAACAACTATGGATCTCTTGAACAAACTTACTTTTATGGAGGTTAGTTATTCATTTTCTTTTCCTGTGCTAACTGTTTGTTATTGCAATAGTTCATTATGGGCCAATAACATTTGGCTTAGTGAGTTTTGTTTTGCTTTAACTGCGAAGAGCTCTTGAAGACTCACTTGTGTCAGGTGGGATTTTTTTTTTTTTTTTGATAAGACATGCACATTAACTTTTGCTTTCATTCAGGATATGACAGTGGTGCTGGCAGTTGGAGTGGATATACGCAGTATGCTGGTGAGGGCTTGCATGTTGTACCTCCGGTGAGGCTTGATTGTTGATCTATTTCCTTCTTGTGCTTACATCTAGAATAAACTTGATTTGACTGTATTCCATGCCGTTTCCTTTCCATCTTGCTCAGGTCATTTATGGTGATAATTCATCTCTTGGATTGCACTCTCCTTATGGCTTCAATTCCCAGATGGCATATGGACAGTACTCACCTGCCAGTACGCCTGTGCCTCAGATAATGGTTGATAATCAGCTTTATTCACCACAACAAATTCCTGTTTCTCCACAATATTATCCCCAGCAAGTTGGCAGCTCGATGCCGCATATGTCAGCACCAATCCCAGTTTCTCATGCTGAGATGGTTAATCAAAAAGGTACTGTCATAATGGTCTTATTGCTAGCCGCTTGTTTTGTCACATAAAAAAGGAATTTGTTTGTGTTGATAGCTGTATTTTATTTTTTTCTTTCACAGGACACATGTCCATGAATGCTCTGCATAACCATGGTTATTACAACTTGCATGGGATGTTTGGATCTGGTGAACCTTTGTCAAGTCCTTCAAATTCCACAGATGTTGGTTGGAGAACCTTGAATTCAACTGCGTACTCTCAGCCAGTTGCTACTCTTGGCTCGTTTGACCCTACAGTTGGACAGGTTGGAGGCCTTCTTTTTTAATATTACTTTTTGTTGTCTCTACCGGGAAAATTAAAACCTAGGTCAGGTGCTTATTATGTTACATTTAGTTATGTCAGTAGTTGCTTATTAACTCTAGAATTGTCTCTTTGGTAATAAAAATAACTCTGGGGTTATCATGTTTGGTAAAAAACACAGGTTTAGTTTTTATTTTTATTCTTTAATGATACTTATTTTGTTGCTTTTAATCTAAGAAATACTTGGCTTGCTGAGTGTTGATAGCCATTCATATTAACTTTCCTCCTCATTGCTTACCTATTAAATGCAGATGGCTCAACAGAGACCATATCCTGGCTATGGATTGGTATCAGATTATGTTGGTGGACCATATCACTATGATGGTTCGTTTCAGAACTCAAATTACAGTGCCATACCTAACTCTCAATCAGGATTTAGTAATCGGAATCGTTATAGCTTTGAGAAGGCACGGAATCAAAGGGAGCAGGATTCAATGTTTGCTATCTCAGGTGATCGCAATAGAGGACCAAGGGCATCAAAGGGAAAAGGAAAGGGGACTGCTGGAAATGGCTCATTGCCTGGTGCTGATGCTGCTCCAGAAAATAACTCATTGGCTGGCATTGCTGATAGTGGTGCTTCTGCTTCTGGAGTGAATCTCGCTTCTTACAATAGTGCAGATTTTCCAACAGAGTATGAGAATGCAAAATTCTTTATAATTAAGTCTTTTAGTGAAGACAATATCCATAGAAGCATTAAATATGGAGTTTGGGCAAGTACGCCTCATGGCAATAGAAAGTTAGACGCTGCTTATCAGGAAGCAAAGGAGAAAAGCAACTGTCCTATTTTCCTTTTGTTTTCGGTAGGTTTTCCTTGACGATTAGTAAATGCCTTTTGAGCTCTGTTAATATTTTAATTTCTGCTGTGTGACAGGGATTGGAGATGCTTAAATAAGACATGCTTTTCATTTTTTAGACTTGTCCAAATGATCTTCTTGGTTGTACAGTCTTTCCCTTTGGCCCGCTGATATTTTAACTTCCAGTGCCTCGGTAATTGATATTCTAAGGGTTTTGTGTATTTCGGTGGTGTGTACCTTATGTTGCACGAGGAATGTGTGTTCCCAATGTTCATTGACGGATGTAATATCAATGCTGGTTCAGACGCAATCGTAATTGGGTAGTAATATGTAATTTGATTGCTATAGTATTGTAATATTGAAGACGTGCGTGTGGAATGTTTCATTAAGTGCTTTTTTTTTTTTTTTTTTTTTTTGTCCACTGCTATGTTGAGTTGGATACACTTACCTACTTGTTTTAATGGCTGCATCATTGTGTCTTCTTGTTTTTTTCTTGATAGAATGATAAACAATGGCAACATGTATGCCATCGTTCTTATTATGTGTTTAAGCTATTGTATCTCATGCAATTTACTGGAGCTGAAGATTCTTTAATGTTTTTTGTATAGGTTAATGCCAGTAGCCAATTTTGTGGAGTAGCAGAAATGAACGGACAAGTGGATTTCGAGAAAAATGCAGATTACTGGCAGCAAGATAGATGGACTGGGCAGTTTGCAGTTCGTTGGCATATAATTAAGGACATACCTAATAGCAAATTTCGGCACATTTTGCTAGAAAATAATGATAACAAGCCTGTTACACATAGCCGAGACTCTCAGGAGGTATTACTTTTATTCATCAATACTTGTATATGTTTTGTTCCCATTTCTTTTCTTGCAAGGCCTTTTTATATGTGTTCTTTGGAATGGGAGGAACTGAATCAACTGATTTTGGGAGTATGGGGGTGAAGGAGAGCATTGCTTAATGTGGTTTTAAAAGCTGCTTTGTTTTTACATCCTGTATTTTTTAGTTTCCTTCAAGTATTTGCTGAATTAGACTTCTGCCATTGTTGGCTTCTTGTTCCCACAGCGCTCTTGTTTACATCATGATCTGTACTAGGTTGTTGCATACAATTGTTGACTTTTCCTGCATGTTTTATTATTTTGTAGGTGAAACTTGAACAAGGCATTGAGATGCTGAAAATTTTCAAGGAATATGATGCCCAAACATCCATTCTTGATGATTTTGAATTTTATGATGAACGGGAGAAGGTATTGCAGGAAAGGAAGAATCGACAGCAAGTTAAATTGAAGCCCAGTGTTTCTGAATCTCTTCCTGATGTGGTTTTGAATAATATATCTGACAAATTAGATCAAGCTCTCCATTTAGATGAGAATTGTAAAGATGTAGTGACAACTGAGAAGAGCGGCAGCATCCAGCAAAGCAGTAAGGTGTAGTTAGTTGTGCGCATCAGCACCTGTCATGTTCTCTGAATACTGATTTTAGGCCCTTTTTCATGTTATACCCCGAAATGTCTTCTTCTCAGAAAGGTTAAAAGATCCTTTTCGTCATTGTCTGGGAGACATGGATTCCTCATGCTGGATTCCTTTCGTTACTTCCTTTTTTTCACCTCTTTCCTCCCATCTTTTTGACTTTTAAATCCTTTCATATTGAATGTACATGAGCCAGGCTGTTCAGGTATCTGCTGTGGTTGTGGCAGGAGTGTTGTACGACATGCCTGGCTCTTTTTCAAGGTGTAATTTTAGTCCCATACTAAAAAAAAAAGCTGTTTCGATTTTGTTTCCCCCCTTTTCTTTAAAATATAATTTTCATTCTGTTACTCTTTCTACTAAGTGGATTTCACAGCTTAGGTCAACATTTCCCTTTAATAGTGAGTTACTTTAAGAATTTATGTAATTGCCCAGTATTTTTTTTGGGAGTCAAATTAATAAAACATTTCTGCAAGAGCATTGAATGGTTTATACTTCATAGTACATCTTTGTATTAGTAAGATTTTTTTAGTTTTATTTTTATTTGCAGTAATTTTCAGCATGTTGTGACTTTAATATATTTGCAGTATCTTTTATAGCGGATCATTTAAACCACTCTTATTTATTAGTTTCTAAAATTTTCTTTATGCTGTTATAGACAAGTACAGAATATATAAATCAGAAATTTTCAACTTCATACACACGGTATACTTTGTTAGTTTTGTGCAGCATAAATATTTAAAGCTACCCTTTTATATACAAAAGTTATCATTTTTATAACAAAAATTTTACCCTAAAATAAATATTTTTAATGTATTAGATTTTTTTTATTTTTTTAACGGGGTATAATGTATTAGATTAATCATATTAACCTTCAAAGCATGTGTTTTTAAAAATTACACATTAAAATACAATAAAACTTATAAAAATTAGATGTTATCATAAAAATTGTTAAAATTACCCTTAAATTGACCGTCTGTTTATCTTACAATAAAATCAGTACATTTGAGTTATCGTCCTTGTTGAAACCTTAGGCCTCTCTTTAGAAACTTGATGTCACCAACCACCAAATTATCAGATGACCACCGGATGACTTGACACGCCTACTGATATCTAAAAACAGTTAACATGACTGCTTGATTGATCAACATCGCTGTGGATGTAGCAAGGTCACCCATACATAATCACATACCAATTGGGTTTGCCACTGCTGAACAACTCCCTCTTTGTCATCCTGATTTTCTTGTAACTCGGAGGAGAAATCTGTTTTCGTTTAATGTTGCATGATCTCGATTTTCATGCACATCATACACATATGTGCTCTTTGCTTCTAACATGATTTTGTCTCAAATCGCTTTGCCACGCAGGAGAGTTCTTTATTCTAACTTATTTAGATTCTAGCTTAACTTCTCTTCAATAGTTCCTAAGAAAAGGAATTTGTCCTTTTTTTTTTTTTTGGGGAGGAGGGGGGGGGGGGCGGGCATTAAGAGGACCTTTCCCTAGTACGAGAGGACCGGGAAGGACGCACCTCTGGTGTACCAGTTATCGTGCCCACGGTAAACGCTGGGTAGCCAAGTGCGGAGCGGATAACTGCGGACCATTACCCCCAGCCCCCTTGGGGGGGACCTTGCCCATGCCGAAGACGAGCTCGTCTTCAGCAGAAACCAAAGGAAGAACTACTTATCTTATTCCGTAGAGCATCGAGAGTACGGGCATTTATTTATGAAATTATGTCCTAGTCTATAAATTATGAGATTTATTCAGCCCATTGGTGCAATTCGTGCAAACCATGAAGAGACAGACGTCAACTGTACATCTCTAGTTCGAATGTCTTCCCGACCTGAAAGTCTGAAGTTGAACGGCCTTTCTTGATGGACTGGGATGAATAGGGAGCAGAAACTAGGAACTGGGCATTCACAATGACGACTTAAAAGATTGCTTTCAGAATTTGAAGTGCTTTATATTCTGTCTTCACAGCAATGTTTGATTAGCCATCAATCTGCCACGAAAAAGGACATAAATCATATTGACTGAAACTGAAGGAAAAATAACGCCAAAAAGATTAAGTGATAACAGATTACCACAAGCCTGTAAACATCGTCCAGTTTGCATGAAAGAGCTCTAACAAAGGCAGAAGCAGATCATTCAAAAATCTATGACAACTCTTTGGTGTTTGGCCTCTTCACACTTTGCAGATACCTCAAACCCGCATAATAATCTGATTCCTCCAGTGATCTACGATGAGCTCCAACCAAGTCTTTTGCTCACTCCCTTATTCTTCATCAGTTGCCTATACATCTCTGCCTCCTCCCATTGTCCATTGAAGTCCAACAAATTCGATATAGTTATATAATATCCATCATTTTCAGGATCAGCCTTGATAGCATGCTTTACAATCCTCAATCCAATCTCTACTTCATTGTGAATTTTACAAGCACTTAACAAGGTCCCCCAAAGACCGCCATCAGGTGTAATAGGCATCGACATAACTATATCTTCAGCCTCCTGCAGATTTCCTGACTTCCCGAGAAGATCTACTATACAAGCATAGTGCTTTAAAGTTGGTGTCACAAAGTAATAATGCATTTTACGGAAGTAATATCTTCCCTCTTCAGTAAGGCCTGCATGACTGCAAGCCAACAAAACACCAAGAAAGGTCAGTTCATTTGGTCTAACACTGGATTTTTCCATCTGTTTGAAGACCTCGATTGCAGATCTAGCATCTCCATGAATGCCATAACAAGAGATCATCACATTCCAAGCAATTACATCTTTATCATTCATGGAATTGAAAAGACCCCTTGCCTTCCCAAGCAGCCCACATTTCCCATACATGTCAACTAAAGCTGTTGCAAGTGAGATATTTAAATCAACACCCAATTCTCTGACGTAATTGTGAATCTTCATTCCCTTCTCTAAAGATGCTAAACGCGAGCAAGCTGACAGCACAGTGACTAATGTTGCTGTATTTGGATTTGATCCTTCAAACATCATCTGGTCAAATAGTGCTAATGCCTGAGCAAACTCTCCGGTGTAAGCATAGGCACAAATTAATGTATTCCATGTTATAATATCCCTTCGCATTCTCCCAAAGATGGTTTCCGCAATGGTTAACTTGCCACATTTTCCATACATATCTATAAGGGAATTGGAAACTGAAACATCGCCATCAAGCAGAGACTTAATAACATAGCAATGTATAGATTTTCCAAGATGAATTGTTCCCAACTGTAAACACGAAGAAATAACAGAGATTAGACTATTGGAATCACATTCAACCCTTTGATGTATCATTTCTCGGAAAAGATTCACACACTTTTTCCAAAGGCCTCCTTTCCCATATTCAAACACCATCAAGTTCCAAGTCTCTGGATTCTTCTCATGTAGTGTATCAAAGATTCGTTCTGCACTGGCTAACCTTCCAAATCTGCAATACATTGAAATCAATGCCCTGTAGACAACTTGATCCCTTACATAATTTCTCTTCATTATCAGTCCATGAAATGCCATCCCTTCATGGATCCAAATCGAATCACCTAATGATGAAAGCACACAGCTAATAATGATTTCATCCGGGTATATACCACTACCTAGCATTTGCCAAAAGAAGCCTAAGCATTCAGTTACACACTCCAGTCTAGCATAGGCAGCAATAATTGATGTCCAACAGATAAGATCCTTATCTCCAACTTCATAAAACAAATGAAAAGATTCTCCAATGGTACCCCATTTCGAATACATAGACAAAAGTGGTGATTGAACATCATGGCATAACCCATATCCAATCTTAATCGCTAACGCGTGCAAGCATTTCCCTTCCGTTAAAGCCCCTATGTTTCCACATGCTTGAAACCCTCCTTCAAGGGTTCTATAATTAGGCCTTACACTATCCTCAACTGCATTATGCATCATACAAAGACACTCCAAACCCTTGTAACTTTCACCATTCTGTAAATAACCAATTGTAAGCGCAGTCCAAGCAACAACATCTCTCACAGGCATTTCATCGAACACATTATATGCATCTTTCATACAACCACATTTCGAGTAAAAATATACAAAAGAAGATCCAACAGCAGAATTCCCACCAAAAACACCAAATTTCACAACCAGCCCATGAATCATAACCCCATAATCTAACGCCAATAACTCAGCACAAACACTAATAACCATTGGAATCGTAAAATTATTAAGTGGGGTGTTAGAAAATCGCATACCCAGAAAAAATCCAAGCGCCTTTTCATAATTCCCACAAGAAAAATGCGATTTGATGATTGAATTCCAGAGAAAAGGGTCTTTAAAACGAACTGAATCGAAGACTTTGGAGGATAAATCGGGTCTGGAAAGAGAAGCATAGAGAGAAATGAGCTTTGATGCGATGAACACATTGTTGTAATTCCCAGAAACAATGATGATTGAGTGAAATGGGAGGAGAGATTTCAAGGGCAAGGAGTAATGAGAGAGAAAGGAATCCAGACGAAGATTTATGTAGTTAGCTGATTGAGAAGTTGTGGAAGGTTGAAGGAATGTGTTGAAGAATCGCCTAAACAGATTATTTGGGTTGAATTTGAGCATGGGAAAATGAGGAATTTGTTTAGTGATTTTGATCATGTAGGCCTAACATACTTGTTATAGCTTATTTGACCAACATTAGCTTATTGACGGTTAAATAAGTTACCCTCATTTAATTTATAATCCTATCTCAACTACCTACCCTCACAATTAGATTATTGGTTATTTCACATACTCAAACAACTTATACAATTAGCTATTTACCAAAAAAATTTGTACAATCAACTAGTAAGTTAGTCAAATCAGTTAATACAATCAGTTAGTCAAAATCAGCTAACACAATCAGTGTCAGCTTTCAGTTTTTCACCAAACACTGCAAAAAAAAAATTAGGTAGCACTATCTATTGGAATAACAGTTTATGTCTATTTTAGTCATCATTTTGTGGAGCCTATGTATTCGTTTCCCCTCAACTACTTGAATTAGTTTGACATAAATGCCTTGAATTTACCTCACGGTACGACCAATGACCTTCTTTCTCCTTTATTCAATTTCCCTCCATTTTCTTTCACCTTTCGCGGGGCAAACCTCTTGTTTCATAATAACAATCTCATTTTATATTAACTTTTTCTTCAAGACTAGTTTTGTAATCACCCATTCACCCTAGCTCTTCCACTCTATCTTCATCCTCCCATTTGAAAAATATGCGACCCCTTCTACATGATGTATCATAATAGAATTTACAAGTCAAAAACATTCTTTTAGGGTTTGTTGTAGTCCATGATGTCTTAATTTAGGTAGAATGTCACAGTTGCATTTATTTGGATATTGCATAGATCAAAGAATGGTAGGATGAATTACACATTCAAAAATTTAACATTTGAACAAGATTAGACACAAAAATCCAATCAATTTCAACCCAAATCCCCCGAATAACAAAACCCCTAGATTCAATTGAAACCTTAAACCCTAAAGTGAAATCCTTAATTATGATGATTTAACGAAATTGAAAACCCTAAACCCATTAAATTAGAAATGAATTACAAACATAACTATAAAAAAAAAATTACATATTGAACTTGAATCAGGGAGAAGGTCTCCATTATTTGTGAAGCAAAATTTGTGTTCAAATAAAGCATCCCAAATCAAAATTGTTTGGTTCGAAATTCAATTGCAGCACCATATGCCAATCTAACAATAATTCTACTTAAATTTTGTGAAAATTAGGGGAGTTATCAATGTTTAATTATTATTATAGTTGTGACATTAGGAAATTTTTTGGCAGCCAATATGTCTTCTTCACAAGTTGGGATTCTTATGTTCAACTTGTGCAAGTGTAGATTTCCAAATACAAAGAGAATTTCATAGACTCATGGCAATCTAAGAAGAAAATTTTTGGCTTCATTCCAAATTATACACCTTTGAGGTTGGTCAACAAAGGTGTAAGTATTGTGACTAATGGATTGATGAGAAAATATTGGATTGGCAAAGAGATGTCACAATGCTCTTGTTGATGAGAAACATTGAATGACCTTTAAATTAAATGTCCTTAATTAAAGCTAGGTTGGCATGTGTGGAGCATAATAATAAAAGGCTAGGTGCTAAACATGACAAAGAAAAAAGAAAGTTGGTGATAAGGGTTGAAAATTTAGTCAATAAGCCTAATCTTGGACTTAGGTAAATTGACTCACAAATATTCGTATAAATTGATTACTTTTAACAAGTATACTTTCTTTCATTAACTTTTTAAGTATGTTGACATTACTATTACACTATTCACATCTACAAAAGGAAAGCCTTAATCGAACAAATTAGGGAAAAAAATGAAACAAAGGGAAAAAAAATCAATTGCAAACCTAATTAAATGAAGATCACCGACCCCAAAAACATAATCGACAGGACTATGAGAGTCGATGACCATCTGTGATTTTTTTTTTTTTGAAGAAAAATAGGATATATATTTCTTTCACAATATTTTTTTTCTTTTTTCGTAAATTTTACTAATATAAATTTGCATATATTTGATGCCAACTTATGTGTTCGTATGTGTGCTAACCAAATTGTTGCAAGTATTCGAGAATAGAGGAGTGTGACGGAGAAGAAGGTACGACATTGTTCGATTGTCCCCGAACAGAGGCTATTTGACATGTTTGCTCGATTGTCCCCGAACAAAGGCTGTTTACTCGACTGTCCTCGAATAGAGGCTGATAATATGTTTGCTCGATTGTCCTCGAACAGAGGCTGTTTGCTCGATTGTCCTCAAACAGAGGTTGTACCTGAGACCTGCACCTGCAAAATGGCATTTGCCAAAGGACTCATACAGACTGTGATTGACTCACAACTTGACCAAGCTTGACTTGACATGACATGTGTATGACTTGTGATTGTATGTGTATGTGTAAAAATTGAGTGGCAAAAATTTCCGTCATTTTTTGTCATGAGTGGAGGGTACCGACTTTCTCCCAAAAAAGAAAAACGTGAAAAATGAACTTTTCGAACTTCCCCAATAAAAAATTTTGAAAAAGTTTTTGAACTTCCCCAAAAGAAAAATTTTAGAAAAGTTTTTAGACTTCCCCAAAAGAAAAATTTTAGAAAAGTTTTTGAAGTTCCCCAAAAGAAAAAAGATGAAAAATTGGAAGAAGTTTGAGCTTCCCTGTCGAGTAGGATAAAGCAAAGCGAGGTGAATCGCATAAATATACTGCTTGTCAGATTGAATCTCTCGTCTTAAAAATAATGTGTGCATGATGAATGTCCTTAGGCCAAGAGGCTAAGGACAATTACATCATGTGACACGATCAAAAAACAATCTTGATGAACATTGCTTAGGTGTAGAAGCTAAGCATGTATACAATGGTGATTGTTGAATGTTGTCGTGCAAGATGATGAAGCATGCTCGGTGCTGAAACAAGATTTCATGATAAAGAGTTCCTAAGGGAAGGATGACATGACCATGTATGTGTTAATGAAGTGTGTGAAAGTGATACTAAAGTTAGGATACAAAGGTCGTGGTTTGTGGAAAAGATGTAAGAAGAGTGTGACTCTTTAGGCTAGGTAGGCTAATGATGTGGGTTCAAGCCCCCAAGTCTAGCTTTACATGGATAGGGATGAGCATTGGAGATCCTTTGACGCGATCATGCGTTAATATGAATGTGAATGTGGCTGCACCTCGATGTGAGGTTGCCTACGTATCTATGAGGAATCAGGCTGAATGTAGCTCTAGCCGAACTTTGCACAAGTGTATGTATACCTCAAAGAGATCTTTAAAGGTAAAAATGAGGTTAAGCTGGAGGTTGTAGAAGAAGGGATAAAAGGGTCAAGACCCGAGATAAGCCCCCCAAGATGTGTAATTGTGTATTTGAAAGTTTGAACTTTACAAGTTTTATTTTTTTTCATTTTGAGCTTTGTTTTTTGCTTTTGTATATTTTACACAACTCTTAATAATCGTCAATGTGGGAAATTCCGGATCATGCGGTCCATCACTCATTTAGCATTCATGTTTCTCAAGCACGGTACCAAGCACTCGATGAAAGACGCAATTCGAGACGTGTTCATATCAAAGACATTGGAACACTTGCCCTTAGACATTGTTTTATTATTGCTTTGCTTTGCTTTTTTTTTTTCTTTAACTTGCTTTTGAATATTACACGAATTACACACCTTCCCATCCCAAGGTTAGGTGAATTGTAGGTTGAATAAATGAGGTCAAACGTTAGACGAGGCTCAAAGTGGTTAATGAAGAAGTGGAATATATATGCAATGTGTGTGGATGGTTAAAGGGGAAATAATGGGTTGCAAAGGGTGCCTCGAATCATTGGTATACCTTATGTTTAGTACGGCAATTGATTTTTTTTTTTTTTTATTTTTTTTTTTTTGCGAATGAAAAGTGATATGATCGAGATGTAAAGGAAAAATGCTCATTTTATTAATGGAAAGGTGAACACAACACATAAAACAGATAGAAACTTTGAAATGGAAAACCTTACACTAGACATAATATGGGGAATGGAGATGAATATAAAAGAAAGAAAGCATGAAATCTTGCTCGGAGGACTCGCCGTACGCCTTGTCTTCATTACTTCTTGCCACCTAGAGGGACAGGAAGTTTGTTTGCATCAACCAAATCTTGAATAGCATCATTCAAATTCCAGCATCGCTCGATTGTGTGGCCCCTTCCTTGATGGAACTTACAGTGGGCATTGGGATTCCACTTGGCACTCCTTTCTTCAGGTTTTGGCTCTAGGAATGGTCCAATAGGTGTAATCAAGCCTTGACCGTAAACGCGATCAAAGGCGGCATTATAAGTCATTCCCAAAGGAGTGTAAGTTCTCCTTTTCTTTGCCAAGGGAGCATCAAGAGCTAACACTTCATTGAGATCGTACTAGCTTACATTGTTGGTAGTATTTTCGGGCTTAGAAGACGAAGAAGAAGGAAGGTTGTTCTTCTTGTTTTTCCAAGTGTTATTATTGTTACTACTACCAGCAGTCTTTATTAGCTCGTCCTCAATACTAATGTCAATATCGTATACAGCTTCGAAAGTGTTCAATGGCAGGAATTTGAGATGTTGCTTGTACTTGTGAGTCAAATTTTGGATAAAGAGATGAACCATCTCCTTTTCCTTTAGTGGCTCAACCATTTGCGCAGCTGTTTCTTTCCACCTACTCAGATAGGTAGTGAACCCTTCGTTTTCTTTCTTCTTAAGGATAGAGAGCTCACGTTTAGAAGTCTAGGTTTGAATGTTACACTTATAACGGTTCATGAAACTGTCACTGACATATTCCTAAGTTGCAGTGTACTTGGCATCTAGAGAATAGAACCACTATTAACAAGCATGCTCTAAAGAGAGAGGAAACACTATAGGGAAGAGTGCCACCTCTAGTCCTTTGAGAGCCATGGTTTCAAAGAAAGCCTTCAAGTGGAACAATGGGTTGTCGGTAGGCTTGAACTTTGGTATGTCAAAAGTGGAGAACTTTTGAAGAAGCCTATCTTTCACAACCAGAGTAGTGGAAGGTTGTTCCACATAAGTGATGAACTCATCAGTGATTTTGCTCATCTTATCTTTCAACGCAGCTATTCAACTAATACAAGAGTAACATTGTTTTGTTCCATGGTGGTGACCTTAGTAGTAAGGCCCTCCAACATAGAAGTGAGTACAACAATGGACTTGTTGATTTGCTCAATATATTCCTTGCTAGCCATTAGAGTGAAATGAAAGTGAACTTGGGGTGAGGGAGATGGACTTTGTGGAGACGACGGAGGTCGCTTTGGACGCCTCTTAGGTCTAAGAGGTTGTTGTGGTAGCGAACCGAACCGTACTAATCTACCCTTTCTCCTTGACCAAGTACTGTGAAATAAAACAAATTCACTTAATGGTTTGACTCATTGCTCAAAATAGGAAGACAGGGGAAAAAGATTAAATTTCGAAAACGGTTGAGAAAAAACTCCACTCATTTTCTTGTGACGGAAAAAAGGACGCATGCATGAACCTAGTATACGATCATAAACGACATGGTGCATGACTCGAGTCAAAACTAAAGTGTGTGGACTATGCTTAACTCGTGAGTGATTAGGTGATGTTATAAGACTCGTGGTATGATCGCATGACTAGACATGTAAATAGTATAAAAAATGACTAACGCGAGGAACAAAATAGCACGGAAGACCAAAACAGGACTGCCCGGA